CCCGTCTGCGTCTTTTGATGTCATAAATTTATCGAGCTAGAAATAACAGCAGAAAAGTACTTAATACGTATCTTAAATGAAATATTCCATTGAAGAATAGGAAGACAAACCTCAGTACTTGATATAGAACGGGTCAGAAAGGAAGTTTCAGTTCCAAATACTCAATCTGACACAGCTAAATAGAGGTTTCACAGGCAGTTTGGACTAAATCCTGGCCATCGAATGTGTTTCATATTTACATAGGACGACATCAGCATTCATTGGAAAGGTTTTTATTTGGTTGTCAAAGTGGTAAAGCAATACGGTTCTAGTAAAAGTTTGACTTATTTAGTAGTACTGATTTTATGGTAAGCAAAGCTTTAGATTTTCACTGATAATTTGGACATTTAATGTTTGGCAGTAAACACAAGCACACCTTTCTCTTTAATGTCTGCAAATAAAATGTCCATGTTAGCGCAAGGTTTTAAAGGCCCATCCAAGGCAAAATAAGAGGTAAAATTAAAAAAAAAAGAAAAAAAGAGGGAAGAAGAGAACGGTAAGTTCTAAGCCCAAAAGAATAAGTAACAGAGGTAGGAATGAAGTTTACCCTTGGAAAAAACAGTTGCCTGTCTTCTCCAACACCCATTCTGCCTTCCTTAGAGCGGGACAAGCTGAAGACGCACCAATTAGTGAAGAAGTAGGAGGAGGAGCTTACTGACAGACTGACATGTTAATGGCGCGTCTCTGGTGCCACCCTGTCGACGATAGGTGGAGGTGAGTAAAGGTGGGTGATATTGCTAGAGGAAGGCAAGCAGATCCAACAGTTAGGTGCTTCATGGGCATCAGCGCAAGGTTGCATTCACGAAGGCATGGCATTAACATGTCTACTTCTGTCTCCCTAAATTTTGTCACTTGGGGTAAAGGAGGAAGGCGTATCACCAAATTATGCCAAAGGCTAACACCGAATATAAAGAAGTTTAATTTTAATAAGCAGTTTATATGCAGATTGACCGAGGCTCTTAATGTCAGCATCAATTCCCTCAAGCCTCCACTTCTACTATTGTGAGTAGGAATAAGAGTAATGCCTTAACAGCACAGAAAAGATATTCAGTATGCACTAGTTCCTACAGCGTCTCGCGTATGTAAGCTGGCCTAGTCTAAACACTTCATAAGCATGTGAGGAAATAGAGATGAATATCCACTTCTAACTATAGTGCGGTTCGACGCGATGTTGGGTAGGGCGGTCGGTCCGTCATCAGCTAGGCACTTAATCAAGTGTGAAAATATTGCCCCTGCTTCCCCACCTAACCGCAAATACTGCACCCACAGGCTGTCGAAATTGCACTTTGTGCTGACAAGCAGTTCTAATTGTTCCATTTCTTACAAATCGTAGCCTACTTTGTTTTCCTTTTTGGATACCGAGATGAACAATTGGAGTGGTTGCAGGTCCCCTCCTAGTAAGCCTGAAGTTCACTAACGTTTGACGCGCTTCCAAACACTTCTACATTTCGCGTCCCACCCGTGAGCTCCATGGAGCCGGTATTTTTATATTTGACAAAATTTAAACGGAAACATTGCTCTTTGTTAAGTACGATGAAAAATCCACTTTTTCATGTAAATGTCTATATTGCTCATTGAGTAATTTAGATTTGGAACACTGCATCATCCAGGTTTGGTCTAGAGTGCCTAACCAACCACCATAAAGCAGCTTCACTTTAAGCATTTGGAACTCCACCCATTCAGCGTTTCTTCCATCATCGATGCCAAAGTCTTTCCTTCTTTAATCAACAATGGATTACCTTTAACAGGGGATTTAGCGGTTCTCTGCCATTTCCCATAAGCTTGTCATATCATAGCATCAGGAGACGCGACTGCCGACCAGCTGCAAGTTAAAGTGGATCTGTTGGAAGACTTGAGGTGTTGGCTTTTTCACTTAAAATCCCTTTTTAAAACAATCCATTTGCATTCGGTAGCGGTGTGTTTGCATACCAATAATCAAGTGAGCATGGAGGCCACTTTGCCACATCAGAGTGTCAAATTTCAATGCAAAACAGTTTAAAGAGATCCTCGCCAATTGCCAACGTCTACCGTCTATGCTGCAACATGAAAGCAAGGCTTTACTTTCAGCACTCCAGTAACCAGCCACCACTGACTCGCCTGTCTCTGTCTTCATTTCTTCGCTTCATCAATTCCACTTTAACCAATTTTACTTGGCCAAGCATTTAAAGCTGATTTGCTTCGTCAGAGAAAGTAGAGTTTCCTCACGCATGCAAAATCCATGGATTCATGACAAAGCCGAAACTGCAGCAAGATATCGACACAGAATGTCCTTTGACATGGACTTCAGCTCAACCTGTGTCATTTTCAAGAGCAAAACACCAGCAGCACTAACCCTAAATTTACACGTTATGCGCAACAAACCCTTTTCACCATTTTGAGACTCATCTGTGACTACGGCTTTTGCCTTGCACCATTAGCTTAAATTTGAAATTAGCACAACCAATATTTCTTCCTTTTCAGTGTGAAACTACACAAGGCTCCCTTTGTGCATGGTGACTACGGGTACTTTACATTCACTCACAAGCAAAACATATCCCCTCTACCCATTTTGCCGCGTATTTTGTCAACACAGATACCTCCCACTAGCTTATTGTCCCCAAAATTGCCCCACTATTTGTTCCTGCCTGGTCCGTGAGACAACTCGTCAACTTATCACCACCTTATCACCTACCATATAATAAGGGATGTGCAAGCCTACTTCAATTTGTGACAAGGCATACCAGAACAGAGGAAGATGTATTATGAATGGGCAGGAAAAATGCAAGAAATGGTGATCATGTGGTGGAGGGGGCACGAATCTACTGATCGAATGTCAGCAGTCTCACAGTGATTGCAACGTTCGAGCAGGCCCTAAGGGCTGGGACCAATTTGTATGTGCTGACCATGTCGTGGCAAGATGGGCGAGGGGACGATCGCGTGCTACCTCACCTTTGAATCATTCGGCAGATTCTTCCTCGTCCATCGCACATCCTCCCAACTTCCTTTCACGTAACACCGATGCACACACTCGTCTGGTCCAGATGGAGCTGAAGAAAATTCGCACAGGGAGACAGCATTCCAAACAATAGCCACCCGCACGCATGCCTGTATACAGAGACCGTTCAACACGCTGGCATACATACATCTTTGCACAAGTCCAATGGCACGTCAATTGCGATTGTATCACCTAGCTGCTATGGCTTGCCTTATTGTCTATTTATCCAACGTAATGTGACAGGTCATTGTAAACTACCCACTGCGCATTCAGTGACGCTAAAAACGAAATGGCTGACGTAAAAGCAACAGTTCAATACAACAGCACTTGATCCTACAACAATATGCGCTAGAACGGGAACTTATGTGGTAATCCCACTGCAGCAAAGTTAGGTTTGAATTCATGTGGTTTAAACATAGTGGGCTCTCCGGGAGTAACAGTGATTGGGACATCTTTGATGCTATCAAAAATAAGATAGCAAGATCGTCCGCAAGATGACTGTTATGGCATCAGTAACCTCGTAGTCGATAGGTCACGAAGAACTGTGATATTACACCAGATGTAGTAGACAAAAGGCAAGCCATTCGAGGTGCGTGTGCCACTTGGTGTGTGCGACGACGTAGAAGGAGATGCGAGCAGGTGGTGGCAGATAGAGCTTTTATGCGGAAATGTTAGTGGTTGACTATTCATCAAGTGTTGATCAGGGTCGCTCAGATTTCTGCTGGTGCTGCTCACGACCGCTGTTATCCGGCGTTCGGAAATCTAGAATGGTGGTCAGAGATAACTCGAATGCATGTATGTGCCACTTCATGGTGCAAGAGCACGTGTGTAAGCAGTAGAAGTGAGAGTGTTATGTATATCATAGCACTGTTAGCTATCTTCATGCGGCTTGTTTTATTAGGTGCATACAAGTGGTGAAGAACAATAACGTGCTGCTCTTTGAAGCTTATCATACACCATCTACTGATGGACGGTATTTGAGTAGGATCTATGCGCATGTGCTGCACTACTTCCTTCACAGGCATTTGTCATCCCAACCTCACGGAACCACTCCTAGTTGTGAAGATGGTGTTGTTTGTCACGTCTACTAATGTATCTGGTGGTTTACGTGTGTGTTCTTTTGCCCTCTGGCCTTCGCCTGTCTGCATTTCTATCGCCGCATCTCCCTCCGATTTCTGTTTATGTGATGAATTTCTACCTGCTGTTGAAAGTGAATTGAATGTCTGACACCGTTAAGAGGATTTCTTGGATATCTGTTGCCTGCGCATCTGCCTCTGTGTCCATTTCCCTTCACCTCTCTCAATGTTGCTAGTATGAAACAAGCAACAAATTAGTGTAGTGCTTCATTTAAAGTTGATGATAGATATCCCTCGTGGAGAAAACACGAATCTACAAAGCTAGTGTAGACTCGCTTCATTAGTAATGTGATGCTCTTGATAATTCACCCAAAAAATGATCAAAACAGGCTTAGCTCAAATCGAGCAGAGTAGGTCACACAGAATGCATGTCTGCCTGATGTATTTGGACTTTGTTTCATTTATTAGTGACTTAAGTCGGGAGAAGCATTCATATGGTAAGACTTTGTCATTTACTTTTCGAGTTATAAATAGTGGAAATGAAAAACATTTGAAAGTTGTTTCCAGCCCCACGCCTTTTATTTCACTGTGTAATTCACGATGAATGTAGCTAGATCCTATTCTCTGCACTTTGGAGACCTTCAATTTGGAACCTTAATTGTTTTAACGTCGCCCAGAGACATAAACTGAATAAGACAAGTCTAAATGTTACCCTTCAGTGTTTCTGTCTGTGAATAAAACCCATGTCTCCCGTGGCAGATGCCGAATTACTCTTTTGACCACCACGCATCAGCATATCACTCTATTTGCGGAAAGAGCATTCGGCATGGGGGAAAAAGAGTCCTTGATTTTGACCTCCCTTGTTCATCCGTCTGTTCATGATGATTGTAGCTGGCTCTTTGCTGCAATTTTCAAACCTTGAATATGGCCAATTATCACTAAATACTGCCAAAGTTGTCTCAACTTACTTTTTAAGTAGGCAGACATGTGGTTTCTTGTAAGGCCTCCAGCCAAGTGATTGATTTTTCTCGATGGTAAATGACTGGCCGAATAAGCTAGATGTAGATAAATTAAGTCAGTCAGGCTGCTGCCACGTTACTGGTAGTTCTTGATGCTCACATAAATGCAGATGGA